TCCCTGGAACTCCCTGTCCCTTGGAGCGCCCTGGGGCAGTGCAGAGTGTCCCTGTCCCGTGTCCCTGTGCCCTGCCCATGTCCCACGGCCCGTGTCCCTGCCCATGCCAAGGTGTCCCGGCTGTCAGGGGTCCCGACCCTGGTTTATCCTGCTGACAGTCCCTGGGGTTGGTTTGCCAATGCCAGCGCCTCCTGCACAGTGACACCAGGCACCGGCTGCTGAGTTTTGTGTCCCAGGGAAACGCGCCGCTGTTTTTGTTCAGGGGCTTGTGGCAGGGTGTGGCCGGCTGCCTGCTGAAATCCCCCCAAATCTCCCCCAAATCTCCCCACAATTCCCCCACATTTTCCTCCAATTCCCCCAAATCTCACCTAAACCCCCAAATCTCCCCCATACTCCCTAAATTCCCCTTTCCCCCCCCATTCCTTCTTTGACGTCATTTACATCCACAACGGGCTGGACGAGAAGGAGGACGAGAGCAGCTGGAAGGTAAAGGGGACAAATTCCCCTAAATTCCCCAAATTCCCCACAGTTCCTTCCAATTCCTCTCTTTCCTCCCCAAATCCTCTTTTTTTTTTTCTCCCCATTTTCCCCTCATTTGTCCCCATTTTTCCTTTTTTATTTTCTTTCATTCTTATTCTTAATTTTTCCCCCAAATTTCCCTCCCAAATTCCCCCATTTTTCCCTCATCTGTCCCCGTTTTTCCTTTCTTATTTACTTTTTCCCCAGATTTTCCCCCCTTTTGTGGGACTGGGGGCTTCAGAGGGAATGTGGGAGCGGTTTTGGGGAGGAAAAAGGTGAAATGGGGAGAAATTGGGGAAAAAAGGAGGGATTTGGGGTGGAAAAAGGGGGAAAAGATAGGATTTGGGGGGGAAATAGGAAATGGGGTGGGAATGGGGGGATTTAGGGTGGGAATTTGAGGATTTAGGGGAAATAGAGTGGGAATGGGGGATTTGGGGGGAAATGGGAGGATTTAGGGGGAAATGAGGTGGGAATTTAAGGATTTAGGGGAAAACGGGGTGGAAATGGGGGGATTTAGGGAAAATGGGGTGGGAATAGGGGGGACAACCCTGAGAGAGGGGACGGCCCCCAGGGCCAGGCCAGCGGGGACAGCCTTGTGAAAAACTCCAATCCCTCGCTTTTAAATTTTTAAAAGTTGAATAGTAAAAAAAAATTGTTCTAAAAATAGGAATAAAATTAGAGGAATACAAATTTGGACAGCTGGGATTTAGGACAATAGGAGACAATAAAAACAGAGAGTTCCGGATGGCCCGGGTGCCTCTTTGTGGGTGAAATAAACCCGAAAAAGGACACACAGGAGATTTGGGGGGTTTGGGACAGCCCAGCTCTGCCCTGCGCTGCAGCCATTCCACAATTCCTGATTTTTTACCCCATTTCCAATAAAACTCGGCCAGACCCGCCCCGCTCTCGCTGCTGGGGACACCGAGCTCCGGGCTGGGGACACACGGGAACCTCAGCGGTCACCGAGGCCACCCCGGCTTGTCCCCGCAGCTGGGGCAGAGCTGTCCCCTGTCCAGCACAAACAAAAACTATTCTGGGCCGTGACCCGCCACAAACCTCTGCCCACGCGCGACAATTACGGTGTCACCAGCAGCGCCACCGCCACATCCCGGCACGGCCACTGCCGGAGCGGGTCCGCCTGTCCCCGACTGTCCCCGACTGTCCTCTCTTGTCCCCTCCTGTCCCCTCCTGTCCCCTCCTGTCCCCTTCGGTCCCCTCCTGTCCCCTTCGGTCCCCTCCTGTCCATTCCTGTCCCCTGCTGCCCCCTCTGTCCCCGCCTGTCCCCTCCGGTCCCCTGCTGTCCCCGCCTGTGCCCTGCTGTCCCCTCTGTCCCTTCTGTCCCCTCCTGTCCCCTTCAGTCCCCTTCGGTCCCCTTCGGTCCCCTCCTGTCCATTCCTGTCTCCTGCTGTCCCTTGTGTCCCCGCCTGTCCCCCGCTGTCCCCTCTGCCCCCGCCTGTCCCCGCCTGTCCCCTGCTGTCCCTTGTGTCCCCGTTTGTCCCCTGCTGTCCCCTCTGTCCCCTCCGGCATGGACCCCGCGGTGCCCAAGGCCACGCTGAAGGTGCTGGCGCTGTGCGCGGCGCTGCTGGTGCTGGTGGCGGCGGTGACAGTGGCGGTGGCGGTGTCGCTGTGGCGCTCCGAGGCGCTGGGGCAGCTGCGGGGCTGCCGGGAGCGGGCGGCCAACGAGAGCCGGGAGCTCGGGACCCGCCTGGCCGAGCTCGGGACCCGCCTGGCCGAGCTGGAACGGGACCGGGAGCGGCTGCGGAGCGACGGGGACACGCTGCGCCGGGAGCTGGCACGGGCGCGAGGGGACAGCGGCAGGGACAATGCCAGCCTCGCGTCCTGCCGGCAGCGCGCGGTAGGTGGCCCGAGGGATGGGGACAAATCTCACCTGTGAGGACAAATCTCTTGTCCCCATAAGTGGCCCGAGGGATGGGGACAAATCTCTTGTCCCCACAGGTGGGCCGGGGGATGGGGACAAATCTCTTGTCCCCGTAGGTGGCCGGAGGGATGTGGACTTGTCCCCATAGGTGGCCAGAGGGATGGGGACAAATCTCTTGTCCCTGTAGGTGGCCCGAGGGATGGGGACAAATCTCTTGTCCCCGTAGGTGGCCCGGGGGATGTGGACAAATCTCTTGTCCCCGTAGGTGGCCCGAGGGATGGAGACAAATCTCTTGTCCCCGTAGGTGGCCCGAGGGATGGGAACAAATCTCTTGTCCCCGTAGGTGGCCCGAGGGATGGGAACAAATCTCTTGTCCCTATAGGTAGCCGGGAGATGGGGACAAGGAGGTGTTTGGTCATTTTAGGGTGGAAAAAGGGATGGGGACAACAGCCTCTGTCCCCTCAGCAGCCCCTCACACCTGTCCCTTGTCCCCATAGATGGAGGGAGGGATGGGGACAAGGAGGTGCTTGGTCACTTTGGGGTGGCAAACAGGATGGGGACAACACCTCCTGTCCCCTCAGCAGAGTCCCCTGTCCCCACTGGTGGAGAAATGGGAACAAGAAGATGCTTGGTCACTTTGGGGTGGCAGAGAGGACGGGGACAGCACTCCCTGTCCCCTCAGCATTGTCCCCTGTCCCTCCCTCCCTGGCCAGCAGCCAAGCCCGGGGGCTGCTCCGTCCCTGCGGGAATTCCCCGTTCCAGCCGGGATGGTGAGCGGGGACACGGGCACAGCCACCTGGGGGGGACAGCCGCCACCTCCCTGCAGGGGACACCCCAAAATCGAGCCCGGGATGCTCCCGGGGGGGGGGCAGAGCCGCAGGGGACACCCCCAAAATGAGCCCGGGATGCTCTTGGCTCCATTCTAGGGGGCCAAAGCCATCACATCCCTGCAGGGGACACCCCAAAAACGAGCCCCGGCTGCTCCGGGGAGGGGAGGCAGAGCGGCAGGGAACACCCCAACCCCGAACACCGGCTGCTCCCCGCTCCGTCCAGGGGGACAGAGACATCCCATCCCTGCAGGGGACACCCCAAAAACAACACCTGGCTACTCCTGGTGGGGCAGAGCGCCCCATCCCTGCAGGGGGCACCCCAAAAAGGAGCCCCGGCTGCTCCCCGCTCCATCCCGCTCCCGGCGGGGCCGCCGTTCCCGGCTCCATCCCGGTAATTACCGGGTCCCGAGGCAGCGGCGGGGCCGCAGCTCCCGGTTCGTCCTTCCCGGGTATTTTTAGCTGCGGTTGCAGCCGGGGAAGGGCCCGGAGGAAGAGCCGGGTCCCGCCGCCCCTCTCGGGCTCATCCGGCTGAACAATGGCCCGGAGAGGCTGGAAAATGTCCCCGTTTCCCGGGGCTGGCGCCGGGAACCGGGCAGGGCTGGGCAGCCTCTTGGAGAGCTCCTGTCCCCCTGTCGCCTCCCTGGCACCAGCGGTGACACCCGCGGGGTGACCTCGGCCCGCTGGGACAGGTCACATCTCCCCCAGGATGAGTGTCACCTCCGAGAGGAGGGATTGTCCCCAAAGCCACGTCCCCAGCGCTTTGAGGAACGGGAGGGGAGGGGGACAGGCACCCAAGGCCACCAGGAGCTTGGGGACACTTGGGGACATGGGTGACCTGGGGCTCTCCTGTGCTCTCCACCCTCAGGACGAGCCATCCCTCTAGGGGAGGGGGATTGTCCCCAGATCCGTGTCCCCACCTTGGGAGGAGGATGTGAGGGGGACCCAAGGCCACCAGGAGTGTGGGGACAGCTTGGGGACGTGGGGGGACAGTGAGACAGAGGAGCAGGAGGGCTCTGGCGGCAGATGAAGGAGCGGGAGCGGGGGATGGACACTGCCCACCGCTGTCCCCACGTGTCCCCTGTCCCCAGGCCAGGCTGGAGGCCAATGTCACCGCGCTGGGGGACGAGCTGGTGGCGCTGCGGCGCGAGCGGGCCGAGCTGGCCGGTGACAAAGCGGCGCTGCAAGGTGAGCTCTGTCCCCGCGCCAGGAGCCCGGCCCGGGGGGGGCTGCGCTCCGTCCTGGCGTGACCAGCCGGTGTCGCCGCTGTCCCCAGAGGAGGTGGCGCGGGGCGCGGAGCAGGCGCGGGGGCTGCGGCGGCGGCTGCAGGAGGCGCTGGAGCAGCAGCGGGAGCTGCGGGAGCGCCGGGAGCGCTGCGAGGGGCGACAGCGGGAGCTGCAGGACAGCCTGTAAGGGCTCTGTGCCCTGGGACACCCTCTGTCCCCGGGGACACCCTCTGTCCCTCGGGGACATCCCCCTGTTCTTCGGTGACGTCTCTCTGTCCCTCGGGGACACCTCCCTGTAAGGGCCCTGGTGCCCGAGGACACCCCCTGTCCCTCGGGGACATCCCCCTGTCCCTCAGTGACACCCCCTGTCCCTCAGTAACATCCCCTGTCCCTTGGTGACATCCCCCTGTCCCTTGGTGACATCCCCTGTCCCTTGGTGACATCCCCTTGTCCCTTGGTGACATCCCCCTGTCCCTCAGTGACACCCCCTGTCCCTCGGTGACATCTCTCTGTCCCTAGGGACATCCCCCTGTCCCTCGGGGACATTCCCCCTGTCAGGTCCTTGTCACCCTCCTCAGGGTGGCCCACCCCCAGAGCAGCCACCCCCCACCCTTGTGACATCCTGTCCTGTCCCTCCCTCCTCATGGGGACCCCCGTGTGTCCCCCCAGTCCCCTCCTCCCCTTCCCTGTCCCTGTCCCCCCTTGGGGACCCCCTGTCCTGTCCCTCCTCCCCTTGGGGACCCCCCGTGTCCCCCCCCGGCTCAGGGCCACCCCCCCACGTGGCTGCGCTGTCCCCACAGCCGGGACTACGCGGCCGAGCTGGAGGCGCTGCGGCGGCGGGGCCGCGACAGAGGCGGCGGGCGCAGGTGTCCCCAGGGTCACCGGTACTGCGGGGGGACAGCGCGGGGAGGGGGGACAGAGCAAGGGGACAGCTCTGAGATGGGGGACAGAGGGAGGGGACAGCTCTGAGAGGGGGGACAGAGCGAGGGGACAGCCCGGGGAGGGGGGAGAGAGCGAGGGGACAGCCCGGGGAGGGGGACAATCCGGAAAGGGACACCCTAGGAAGGTGTCACAACCCACGAACTGGGAAATCCCGCAAGAAGGGACAGCCCGGGAAGAGGGGACAGCCCGGGGAGGAGGGAACAGCCCCGGGAAGGGGGGACAACCCCGGGAAGGGGGGACAACCCCGGGAAAGGGGGGACAGCTCGGGAGGAGGGGACAGCCCCGGGAAGGGGGGACAGCCCCGGGAGGAGGCGCAGCAAGGAGCGGCGGTGTCACTGCCGTTGTCCCCGTCCCCGCCCCTTGCAGGAAGGGCTGAGGCCCCGCAGCCCCCCCGGCCCCCCCAGCGAGCGCCACAGCCCCGGTGTCGCGGTGTCCCCAGCGCTGTCACCTGCGGGGCTGGCCCGGCTCCGGAACAGCCAGTGCAGAGCGGGAGCCGTGGGGGTGGGAGATGGTCCTGATCCCATTGATCCCAAATCCATTGATCCCCAATCCATTGATCCCTAATCCCATTGATCCCCGATCCCATTGATCCCCAATCCCATAGATCCCTGATCCCACCGTGATCCCTGATCCCACTGATCCCCGATCCCATTGATCCCCGATCCCATTGATCCCTGATCCCACCATGATCCCTGATCCCATTGATCACAGACCCCATTGATCCCATTGATCCCATTGATCCCTGATCCCACTGTGATTCCTGGCCCCATTGGGTCCCGGTCCCATCCCATGTCCTGATCCCAGATCCTATCCCAATTCCTATCCTGATCCCAATCCCGATCCCGATTCTGGTCCTCATCCCAATCCTGCTGTGTCCCAGTCCCAATCGCAATCCCAATCCCAGTCCCAATCCCAATCCCGATCCCTATCCCACCACGCCCTGACACCTTTGTGCTGCCACCCCGTGTCCCCGTCCTGTGTCCCGGCCGGACAGGGGACACAGGGGTCCCTTCTCCAGTTTTTTGGGGCAGTTTCGGCTCATCCCGGGCACGGATTTCCCTGGAATCCCCTCCGGGATTTCGGCCACAACCACAGCGCTCCAGAACCCCGGAACAGCGGGAATTTGGGGGACTTTGGGGACACTGGGCAATAAAAGCTGCGCTGCTCGCCGGGACATCTCCCTGTGCCACCAGCCCGCTGTCCCCTGTCCCTCTGACCCCAACTGTCCCCTCCCCAAACTCCAGGGGTTTCTCCCATCCCGGATCCCAACGGCTCTGCCAGGGACCCCAAAACACCCCGAGGGGGGACTGGGGGACACAGAGCCACCCCCCTGTCGTGGGGCCACCCCCGGTGTCTGTCCCCGCACGGCGACGTCGCTGCCACGGTGGCTCCGCCCAGGCGGGAATGGCAGAGCCGGGGTTGTCACCGTGTCCCCACCCCGATCCTGCTCCCTGCGGGTCCCTGGGGGTCGGGGCGGCCTTGGGGACACCTTGGTGACATGGAGGGGACTCAGCGCAGGGAAAAGGGTGGAGTTTGGGGTGGCATGGCTGAAGGGGGGGACACCGCCCCTTTGTCCCTCAGTGCCACCTCAAACCGGGTGTCTGGGGGTGTCCAGGCCCTGCTGCGGCCACTGTCCCCCTGTCCCCATCCCACGGGGATGTCGCCATCCCCCAGCCCCGCAGGGTGCCCGGGGGGTTCGAGGGGATTCCGGGGGGTTCGGGATGGTTCGGGAGGGTTCGGGGGGGCCGGGCCGCGGGGCCCCCCGGGCGCTGACCCCTGGCCGGTGGCTGTTTCCTGCCCTGGCTGCTCCGCGTCCCTCGGGGACCGGGAAGTGTCTGCGATGGCCCGGCCGGTGTCGCTGCCGGAGCCATTCTCAGCTACCGCCGCTTCCTTTTCCTGAGCTGCAAATAACAGTGAGTCACCCGCGGGGACACCGCCACCCCCCCGGGGGGGCACTGCCACCCCTGACAACCCCCCCCAGGGCACACCGCCACCCCCCGGAGGGGACACTGCCACCCCTGAGGGGACACTGCCTCCCCCCCGGGGGGAGCACTGCCATCTCTGACACCCCCCGGGGGGACACTGCCACCCCCGAGGGGACACCGCCACCCCCCGAAGGGGACACTGCCACCCCCGAGGGGACACTGCCGCCCCTGCCCCCGTCCGCCGGTGTTACCTTTGGGATGCCCCACCCCGGATCCCATCCCGAGGGCTCCTCGCAGCCTCCCGGGACCCCACAGATCCCCGCCCCCCACTCTGTCCCATTCCCAAATTAACACCCCCAATTAACCCTCCGCCCTAATCAACCCATCCCCACACCGTGGGAACACTGCTCCCAGTTCGGGAGCGCCGTTCCCAGTTGAGAAATTCTGTTCCCAGTTCGGGAGCGCCATTCCCAGTTCCCCTCCCCATCCCGAACCCTCGCAGGGCGAATCCCACCCGGGTTTGGGATCCCCCCGATCCCAGGGAGCCGCTGGGAGAGCCCCAGGGGACACCGGGATGTCACCGGGATGTCACCTCTGTCCCCTCCCGGCGGCTCGGGGGGCTCGGGGTGGGGGGGCCCGGATGCGTCGCTGCCCTTTGCACAGGATGCGGCCGCAGGAAAATCCAACTTTCCTGGAAACCCGCTTCAAAGCGGACCCAAGGATGCTGGGAAGGCACGGCAGAGCTGCTCCGGTCCCTGTCCCCGTCCCTGCCCCGCCTCGCTCGGTGCCACCCGAGCTGTCCCCGTCCCCGCCTGCCACCCCCGTGCCACCCTCGGGGTCCCCCCGGCACCCCCCGGGGACCCACCCTGCACTCCCGGCGGGATCAGCGCGGCAATTCCCGTGCCGGGGGTGGGAGTTTGGGGGCGGGAGGCAATTCCAGGCAATTCCAAACAATTCCGAACCATTCCATACAATTCCAAACAATTCCGAACAATTCCGAACAATTCCAAACCATTCCACACAATTCCAGGGACGCCGGGCACCGAAATGGGGACGGCGGGAATCGAATCCCACGATTTCGGGGCGCGAGGCAATTCCAGGGATGCGCTGGGCACCGGAATGGATTGCAGGGAATGGAATCCAACTTTTTTTCCCCCCTCTCCACTCCAGGAACAACAATCCCAGCAGAAGCTGAGCCCTGATCACCCGGCGGGATCGAATTCCCTGGAATTCCCATGCCGGGAGTGGGAATTTCGGGGCAGGAGACAATTCCAGACAATTCCAGGGGCACTAAAATTGGATGGAGAGAACAAAATCCCATTTTTTTCCCCCTCCTCTCCAGGAACAACAATCCCAGTGCCCTGATCACCCAGCGGGATTGAATTCCTTGGAATTCTCACACCGAGGGTGGGAATTTCAGGGCAGACACTTCCAGGGGCACCGAAATGGGATGGAGGGAATGAAATCCCTTTTTTTTTTTTTCTTTTTTTTTTTTCCTTCCACACTTCAGGAACAACAATCCTAGCAGAAGCCGTGCCCTGACAACCCAGTGGGATTGAATTCCTTGGAATTCTCACGCCGGGAGTGGGAATTTTGGGGCAGGAGACAATTCTAGACACTTCCAGGGATGTGCCGGGCACTGAAACGGGATGGAGGGAATAAAATCCCTTTTTTTTCCCCCTTCCACACTTCAGGAACAATCCCAACGCCCTGATCACCCAGCGGGATTTAATTCCTTGGAATTCTCACCCCGGGAGTGGGAATTTCGGGGCAGACACTTCCAGACAATTCCAGGGGCGCGCCGGGCACCGAAATGGGACGGAGGGAACGAAACCCCATTTATTTTTTTCGCCTTCCACACTTCAGGAACAACAATCCCAGCAGAAGCTGTGCCCCGATAACCCGGCGGGTCCCCGGGAGCATCCGGCACGGCAGGAAGGAGCCCGGCAGGAGGAAATATTAAATCCTGGGATATAAACACGGCGTCGGGAGCAGCCCCGCCCCAGCGCGGCCCCCCTGAAAAGCGCGGTCCCGGCGGGGTGGGGCGGCCAGAGCAGCGGCGAGGATGGAGAAGAGCAGCTTCGCCATGGCCAAGTTCGGGCTGGAGCACAAGGAGGCGATGCCGAAGCGCGATTGCGGTTTTTACCTCAAGTACATTTTCCTTTTCACCTCGCTGATCCAGTTCCTGATCATCCTGGGGCTCGTGCTGTTCATGGTGTACGGGAACGCCCAGGCGGGCACCGACACCCACCTGAGGCTGCTGGAGGAGCAGGTGCAGAGCCACTACCGCAAGATTGTCACCCTGAGCGCCACCAACGCCAACCTGAGCCGCGCGCTCAACGCCACCCTGAAGGACAAGGACAAGCTGCAGGGGATGGCGCTGAAGGTGCAGAGGGAGCTGGAGAAGTGTAACAGCAGCCAGACTTCCAGCAGCATCCCGCAGGTGAGCCCCGGGCTGCGGGCAGAGCTGGCCACTCCCGGGGGAGGGTGGCACCGCCCGCGGGTGACGCTGGTGTCGCCTGCTCGTCCCTCCGGGTGGTGGCGGCGAGGGGACCCCAGGAAGTGCCGGGGGGTTTTGGTCAAGGGGGTTCCAATCTTGGGGTTCTCTTCCTTTTCCTTTTCTTCCTCCCTGGAGCTCTCCCAGAGCCCCTGAAGTGGTGCCCAGGAATCCTTTCGGGATGTTCTGACCCCTCTCCTCCTCCTCCTCCTCTTCCTCCTCTTCCTCCCGGGAGCTCTCCCAGAGCCCCTGAAGTGGTGCCAGGGGATCCTTTCGGGATGTTCTGACCCCTCTCCTCTTCTTCTTCTTCTTCTTCTCCTCCTCCTCCTCCTCTTCCCAGCCCCTGGAGCTCTCCCAGAGCCCCTGAAGTGGTGCCCAGGAATCCTTTTGGGATGTTCTGATCCCTCTCCTCTTCCTCCTCCTCCTCCTCCTCCTCATCCCCCGGGCTCTCTCTGCTGCCTGTGGGGACCGGGATGATACTGGGGGTGTTTTTGGGGTGTTCTGACCCCTCTCCTCCTCCTCTTCCTCCCATTGCCCCGGACCTCTCCCAGAGCCCACGAGGAGAAGCCGGGGGGTCCTTTTGGGATTCTCCTTCTCCTTCTCCTTCTCCTTCTCCTTCTCCTTCTCCTTCTCCTCCTCCTCCTCCTCTCCAAGCCCTGGTGTCTCGTTCTCGAGGTGTTTTTGGGATCCTCTGCCCGCTCCCCTCCCCCTCCTCCTCCTCCTCCTCCTCCTCCTCCTCCTCATCCTCTGGGCTCTCTCTGTTATCTCTGGGGACCGGGAAGGTGCCGGGGGTGTTTTTGGGGTGTTCTGACCCCTCTCCTCCTCCTCCTCCTCCTCTTCCTCCTGCGCAGCTGCGGGAGCTCCTGTTCCGGCAGGTGAGGCTGACCGAGTGCCAGGTGATCACCACCCTTATCAACACCACCTGCAACGGTAAGAGACACCCCCAGCCCCAAAAACCCCTGGGGACCCCCAGCACCCCCTCCCCACCCCTTGGGGACCCCCAACTCTCCCTCCCCACCCTCCTGGGCACCTCCGGTGTGACCTGCACCGCTCACCCCAAGCCACAGGGTGGCACCTGGGGAGACCCAAACCCCCGTTCCAAATCCCCCAGACCCAAACCCTTTCCCTCAACTCGCCCCAAGCCGAGA